AGTTTGAAATTTATTAAGGTACAGAAATGTGCAATTACGACTCGCACGGCAGTTTTATCTCCAGCCACAGTGATGTCGTGAGGAGGAAGTAAAATGCCCGATTTTTGTTCTTAAAATAGAAGTAATCATTGAAATTCATTACTCATAATTAAACAGTTATTGTATAAGGAGAGTTAAAATGCATAAGCGCCAGAGGAAGCCGAACTGCAGTTGTACACTGAGGTTTGTCTTTCTTTTATAATTATCCCTGCTCTTTCAGCAGTTAACTTTTTTGTGGTGTGTGTTGGTTTTCAATTTTACAACCTTTTGAGGTGCAGAACATTTTAATCCCTACCTCTGCACTGAGCTAATACTTTTATTACCTGTCAGCATAATCCACCAAGACAAGGCGCTGTATTTAAAAAGCTGTTGTTGATCAGTTTTTTACTCTGCTCTCTGTACCCTCTATGGCTCTTTCTGATTAATCCAGGTCAGCGTCCTGGCCAGCTAAGAGGTTAAGGAGGGACTTTTCCCATCACGGTCAAGTCAGGGATTGAGGAAGGAGAGTGGGGGAGGGCGTTTGGGCTGCTTTGCTCTGTGCAATCCCTGGAGGTTGAGAGGAGCCGACCCAGTACTGCAAGAGGGTCCCACCTCCCTGAGCTGCAGATTCTGCTGGTGACCTCGGGACAGGCACCAAAGGAATGAGCAAATACACTGAGGAAACTGGGGTTTGTTGCGAGGGGCCTGTTCTGCTTAGTTTTGCTAGCGTAAGGGCTGGCAATGCAGAAGCAGAATACTAAAAAGAGAGTGCAGAGTACATTACCTTTTAAAAAAAAAAAGAAAAGAAAAAGAAAAAGAGCAGGAGGAGGAGAAAATCAGTTTGGGAAAAATTGGACCCTTTGGGGTTTTTTGCTGCCCGTTGATGGAGATTGCACGCCCATGCAATTTGGAATCCTGTAACCTTGGAAAATCCAATTCTTTTAAATTCAGTGCAATTCTTTCTGCATCACAGATAGACAAGGGCATAATTTTTAACATATGAACCGAGAAGATGCCAGAAATAATACGAAGTGCACTTGAATCAGAATTCAAAATGCAAAGGGAGCTCTTACTGTTTCTAATGAGTGTTCAGGCGTTATTACAGTTTTTCTGGGGAAGGAATAATTTCCCACAAGATGAAAAAACATAATCTAATCAGAGGCTTTATTGCATTGTGGGCAGTGAGAACCGTAAGCGAAGCCCTGTACTATTGCACATGAAAGTCAAAAAATTCGCAAGGAATTGTTTCAGCTATAAAAGTTAGTCAAGCTCTAAGAGCTTGCAAGTACCACTCCAAACTGTGTGCTGTGTTAGCTTTATGAACAGGAAATTTATTTCTTCAGATATGCCAAATAGCATTATTCCCTTTTAGTCTCATTATTTGGTTTTGTTGTTGTTGTTGTTACACATAAGCTGAAGTCTTTTTTTTTCCTCCTCTCTCTTTTTTTTTCTCCCTCCAGTCACTCCCAGGTAGCATCTGCTGTTGTTCCCTTTGGGAGCATACATTGCAGCCACTTTTTCTTTGCAACCTTTCATGTTGCACAGTCTCTTTGCATTACCTTCATTGGAAGAAATTACTAATTGCATTGCAGAAATAAATACTAGGAAACACTAAAAAAAATCTATTTATTTAAAAGGAAAATTGTACCAGTTCCAAACAATTATCCATCAATAATGCATTTTCAGCAGATTAAACACCACTTTCTTCCAGCTTTTTTGATTCTTTGCAGATGTCACCTAGTTGCTTATACTGAGAATATTTCATTATGGTAAAATGAAGTCATAGTCTTTTTAGTGACAAATGTGACACCACCTGATCTGCAAGTTGTGAAGCTTAAAAGGAGTTATTCCTGGGTAGGGATTGGGTGGTGATACAGCCACGATTAATTTTAGATCTGTATATTACTGTATCAAAATAAATGTTTGTAGGTATGGCATTCAAAATTAATGCTGCCAAGCTGAGTTTTTCGTATGAGCGGATGGTCATCACTGTGCTGCCCAGTCTCCTCCTATGTTTGTTTTAGTGCCTCTGGGTGTACATTCTGGCGGTGTCCCCGGCAGAGGTGCGTGCACAGCACTGCAGGCAGCAAGTGGCATCCCCGTATCCCAGCGTGGGATCGCAGCTCTGCCTTCTAGGTTACCGTTCCAGCTCAGCATTTCCCATCTATCTTCATTTCTCCCTCATGCTCCTATTTTCACAACACTGTGATCTTTTTATTCTTCAAACAACTGCTCCTACACACCAGCTAATGATCTAGGCCTGCTCCAACCATCAAGCTTATTCAAAGGAATGTATTTCAGAAAGTACATGCTACTTTGCTGGTACTTTCCACCTTAGTGAAATTCTCACTCAGAAACGTTTTGATATGATGCTCACAGAAGCACATGCCATTATATTATATACAGTAAAAATATTAGGAATTCGAATTCTGTAAATTTCCAGTAGATATATATGTAATTTTATGTTTTATACATAGATATAGATATATCCATTCATCTAGCACTCAAACCTGTGATTGTACAGACTATGACAAGGCACTCTGAGAGTCTATAATATAACAAATGCTTATATAATAAAAATTTTAAATAGACCTACTAGTTCTTAATAAGTCCAATTTATGAAGCCAAGATATTTTTCTCTACTATATATGAATAATTAATATTTTTTTACTTTGCGAATTTTTAATTTTTACTTTGTGCAATTGCTACCATCAATTTACATCAATTTTTATTAGTTTCTTAACATCAGTTTGCTAGATTAATCTTAAAACTTCCTGAGTAGAAGTAATCTTTTTTTCAGCTTGAAATTTAATCTTGCACCAGAAGAAAATAAGAAACTTTGAAGAGTTTATTGGTATCTTGGAACCCATTTTGACATCAGAAGTCAGCTCCAGCAATCCAATCTCGTCCACTTGCTGTAGTTCTAGAGGTGCACGTTGATGGTTATTTCTGTCAAGTGCAGTAACACTTTGTCTTTCAGTAATTCTTTCCTAAAACAGAAATTGCCATATACTTTAATTAAGCCATCAATCTACTTTGATTTATTTGTAAATAAATTTAAATACGACAGGTAGGTGATGTGGCACTACTGCCAGGATTTTTTATTGGGTTAGATAGAAATACCAAAAATCAAGTGTTATGAAATTAAAAGTTTTTGACTTCTGAATTTGGTTTTAGGTCGCTTATTTTTTTACAATACCTAAGTAGTATGAACCCACTATTTCTTGCCAAATTTTTTGAACAATATGGCAACCTATTATAATATAAAAGCAGTTTTATAAAAGTATAAATAGCAATGTGAAATATTCTGAAACTTTTCCAAATATTCCTATCTTCTGCTAAGTTTTCTAGGCTGATGCAACAGGACATTTTTGAGTAGATTCTTTGAATCACGGTCTATCATTTATTTAATTATAAATTCAAATATTTTATACCCAAATAACTGGAAAAAGTTAAAATTATTATTAAAAAACATTATTGAGATATTTTACTATTAGTTTCCCAACATGACAGAATAGCTTTTCATCATGCACCTGCAATATGCAACAACCAGATCTGCTTGACATCGACTCAGCCTCTCTGTTTCTTTCATTTCCCACAGTGGAGTCTATGGTTTGGGTGCTTTAGGAAATTGTTGGGAGTTTTTTTCCAACCCCTTCCCCCTTCACGTTTAATTCCTGTTTTTATAGAATAAATGATGTAGGATTTATTTAAAGTACAGGCATTTTCATTATTTATTGCTGCGTTACAATTTAGGAATGTTTTTTGGTAAATGACAACTGCTAAAAAACATTTGCTGAAGAAGGAACCAAAGGGCCTTAAGCGCTTTCCGAGCCTGGTTCTGCAGGCAGGCACAAAAATAGCTTTACTAAATGCTTCACACTAGTACTAATGGAAGTGTATTTTTCAAGGTGATGCTCTAATCCTAACCACCTAATGGGTAAAACTTGTAGATTCTTCTGCTGATGTTTCTAGTTTACAGAGGATTTTTCATGCTTCTAAAACAACCTTTACAGACCTTTAAATGGGAACAAATAACTATAATCAATACTTTCTACCACTTTTTTTTCCTTTTAATCTTGACTTACCTGTTGTCTGTAGTGATTTTTCCTTTTTCCTCGCACACTCACTAATGGTTTTGGGTACCCTAGTAGTGGGTAACTGGATGCAGAGTAGCTCTGCTCATCTCCTCTCCAATACCCTGCCCAGCGGAACAGCCACTTTCCCTGTGCGTTCCTGGTTCGTGTGCTCCTCTGCATCATCCTCATTGCTTTAACACTGTTCCTCTGCTAAGGTATGGTTGTTTTGCTGGGATCTGTCAGTGACCATACCTTGCTACAACCACTTCAACTTTCTGATTAAGACATCCATATAGTCTTACTAAGTCCTTTATCCAGTAATCTTTAAGAGGCTGTATTTTTCATTGATCATTTTGGAGGTATTTTTCTGGGGAAAACTCATTGGATTTTGGGGGGAATGCCATACAGACTCAGAGGTCTAACGTTGTTCAATACACCAAGTCAGATCTTTTGAATATGAAGTATGTTCATGTACAACTGACAGTAAATTATATCAATAGCCAAATCTTTTATGTAAGAATTAAAATAAATGGAAATTATAGAAGCTGAATGCAGCATCACTACCTTACCTGAAATCGCTCAAAGTGGAGGGGGAAGTAATAAAAGATTTTTTTTAACGGACTTTCTCTTTTTAGGACTTACTTGTCAATATTTTCTCCATGTGTGCACATGAGTGGCAGCAAAACTAATCATCATTTCTGCTGAATCTCTGTTGGTTTGCCTGTACTCTCTGTGAGGTTACGTTAGCTCCTATTACCCATTTTGCTTCATAAGCCAAGCCAGTACTGAGAGAAACAAGCCAGCCCCTCCTGTAAGATGGGTTTCAGCCTGCTCTGATTTTCATCTTTGTCCTCCATGTTCCACCAAACGGTACCCTTGGTGTGAAACCATGTGTTTCTGCAGGCCATCGAGACCCACCTCATTCGGAAATCGAGCGGGGGGCTGACCTACATCGCTGAGTGGAAGGGTGGACTGCTTGAGCACAAGATGGGACATCTGACCTGCTTTGCTGGAGGCATGTTTGCCCTGGGAGCAGATGGAGCACCTAACGACAAGACAGGCCGCCACATTGAGCTTGGTGCTGAAATTGCTAGGACTTGTCATGAATCCTACGACCGCACAAGTAAGTACAACTATTAAGGAGATTAGGTTCATAATTCTGCACTGTAAAGGCAGCTATCAGGTTTTTTTTTTTTTGCATAATGGTCAATGAAAATTTTATTATGCTAAAAACTTTTCATCCTGATTTTTTAAAAAGCTGTTTGCTTCAAGAGCAACTTTAAGAATGATGCTGTGCTAATTAGTATTGTCTCTGCACGGGAATCACATCTACTCACTGTAGCAGAGATTAACATTGCATTTTGTCAACTTCTGCATAGCCAAATACAACTAAGAGAGGGTTTGTGTTCATTTATGCATCACTATAACTATTATTAGCCATGTTTTGCCCACAAAGAAAAAAAAAAATATATTCTCGTTCAAACAAGAGAATTGTACAAAAAAATGGAACTCTGTGCAAGAAATTTATTTGGTGTCTTTCATTTTCTCAAAAAAACAACCCCGGCAGCATTTCAGCTCCTGGAATGTATTTTCAAGTTTGATATGGAAAAGTAAACATCCTCATCTTCTAAGCAAAATTTAATATGTTGCTTGTTATGTAAAATGTTTGAGAATGCAAGTGTTAGCATTGCTATTCAAACTGGAACTGCAGTCTGAGGCATTCATGAAGAATCATTCTTTCCCATTGCAATTTCCAAAACATGAAAGCGGGAGATAGAGCATTACCCTTCGGAAATTACATGCACTTTGGAAGTTTACAAATTTGAACCTTAATTTTTAATGCCTGTATTTTTGCCCTCATGTTGACTAGGCCTGAAGCTGGGACCGGAAGCCTTCCGATTTGATGGTGGTGTTGAGGCCATTGCTACAAGGCAGAATGAAAAATACTACATCCTCCGACCAGAAGTCATAGAGACCTACATGTACATGTGGAGGCTCACTCATGACCCAAAGTACAGGCAGTGGGGATGGGAAGCTGTAGAGGTAATGTTTTGTAGGATTGTTTTCTTATTAATTTCTAGTATCTTGCTAAGCGAGCTACTGGGCAATATCTGGCTGTTGTCTAGCAGTTGGACCAGAAATACGTGTTTTAAAATAATGATATTATTTTAAATATCTTTAAATATCCAGAGAGTTGTTTATTAAATAGATGAAATAAGATCATTTTGACCAAATCAAGGTTTGTGCATGTTGCATTTTAGAAAAACACCTTGTGAACTCTCTTTGTTAAACACTTCTCAGGTCAGGGCCGCATTTGGATGTACTGTTCAAGATACTGATTATTGTCACATGTGAATGGAAGGTTCAGACATGCATCAAATTTAAGCCTTGCAGACAGAAATAGGTTTTATGAAGCATATTGTCTACAATAATTGCAACAAAGCGATTTTAATTAATGTGACTAAGGCCAAGACTAAGTGACTATGTAGCACCTAACATTTTGAGAATAGCTCACTTTTGAAAAGCTTAGGGCAGCTGGATTGACCTCCATAAACGCTACCAATCCCATTTAGCTTTGAATTTCTGTATCCCACCAGTCTGTGAGTTGCAACTAGCTGTATTGAATCTTACAATTTGTGTTTGTGTAACATGAGTTGAAAGAGGGCAACTAGTGTAGACTGCAAAACACTGGCATGCAAAATCCACTGGTTCTCTTCTTTCAGGGGTTAATTGCTGTCATTGTTAGAGCTAAGAGGCTTTGGATTTTCCTTGTTTCATTCTCTCGCCATGGGTTCTTATTACATGTCTAACCTTCACACAGGCTCATTTCTCCTCACATTGCCATTTTATTTACCTTTCATTCTTCCTTTGGAATTTCTAAGCAGTCTGAGCTCTTAGTATAAGATACAGGAAGCTGAATAACAGTATTGGGGGGATGGGGGAATTCTCCTCCTTAACTATTTTAAAAATGAAGTCAGAACTCGGTGCAGTATATTCATAACTGGCTTTATTTTGTGGTCTTATTCTCTACTGCTTTACAGCGTCCTTTCACTGTGTTGTTTCCCAGGATTTTTTTTTCTTAATCCTGTTTGTTGGTTTAACCAACACCTCTTGTTTCTAGGAGCTTGTATTTTTTTTTCTTTTTTTTTGAATGATCCTTATCCCCCACTTTCAGGAGACTGTCATGCAGTCAGTGAGCCCTGAGGGACCTAAAGAGTCAGAGGGACCTAAAGGGTTATGATTACATAGTTCTGGCTGAGTGACATCTGCCAGCTATTTAGTTTCTTGAGCAACATTCACTGTTTGAATATTGTCAGCAGTACTCACTTCAGCTAGGTACAGTGTAGTTATTTGGGACATCTGCTTTGCCTTCCTTGGGTATTGGCTGTGTCTGCCCTGAAACTACGTGGTTCTGAACTAATGATTCTAAAACAATTTTTAAAAAATCCAATTTACAGTGCTATTCCCTTAGCTTCTTATTTTCTAACACCATCCATAGAGACATGTTTTGCTACTGGAATCTTCCCAGGCAGATAGATTATAACTGGAATGTAAAATCTCTCCTTATGCAAGTCATCCAACCAGGCCTCGGTAATACCAGCTATAGTGCGTTTCTTCTCAAGGAGATGTTTTCCTGCCTCATTCTTGCTGCCCACGCTGATAACATTGTTTTGAGCAATTGAAATGTTTTTTTTTTTTCTCGTACTTATTCTTTACTCTGTTGGTTCAGTTTGTTTGTACTTAATTCACATTTGTACTCTCATTTATCTTCTTAGCACTCTCCACGTGTTGCTTGCTTAACATTCTTGCACTTACTCTAGTTTGGCTCTAATGTAGAGGATTCGAGCCCATGTGTGGGAGATGCAGCTGGCCCCATTCTGCACATTCCCGTCTTCCGCTGTCCTAATCTGCAGCTGAGTGTTTCGCAGAAAGAAGCTCTGCAAATTCACAGATGTTACAGAGCCAGTTGTAGGCTTCAAATGCTTCTTTTTTTTCCTCTTCTTAGAAGACATCCCCTACGTCTTCTGTATAGTTCCACATGATACTATATTATTTGTTCCAGCATGCGCCGTTAATAGCTTATCAAGACCACTTCATAATTTCTGCTCTCTCTCCTCCTCCTTATTCTTGTACCAGAGAAGAGATGACCCCATCCAGTGTTGCTGGGGAAATCTCTGATCCCTAACTATGGGGTGTTAATTACCAACACCAGTCTCATGAAGAAGCAGAGACTGAAACGAGAAAGTGGAAACAATCAGGCTGATTGCCTTTGTCTGAAAAAGTTGGGGTTTAGGTGCTCTTTCCTCTATTTTTTTCCTTTGGAAGCTTCTTTACTGCTTCAGCTCAGTTCCAAGATTGTGCTGCACTTCAGTAGCTGCAGAAAATGCAGTCATGGCCAACATCAATATCCACTGCTACTGACTCAGAAAGATTTTATCAGCTCAGCTCACGAAAGCCTCCCTTGCTGCATTCTGCATGTGGCACGTATTCTGAAGCCCTAGCGCTGTGTTTCCTCCCTTGCGATCAGGCACCTTTCTCTCCGTTTGATGCCTTCCATCGCCATCATAACCCATCTCGGCCACCCTCACCCCCTGGAGACCACTCGTTTAAATCGTGGTTTAGTGTTTCTTCCCACCCACCACCCCACCCCGTGAGATCGGGAACATGGAGGCAGAAGGGCATTGCTGGCAGTTCAAGGAGGGTGATACCCAACAGCCTTTATACTGTGCTACCACCACATATGAATGTTCCTTTAGGAAGTGCAAGAGAGCTCCGAGGGCCCAGGATGCATCACATTTTCACCAGGAAGATGCCACCGAGTAGCTTACATGGTGCAAATTAACCTATAGGTTAAAACTTAGCAGTTTTTCAGGTGCTCCTGGTCTATTTCTCTAAAATGAACTCCAGTGATCCTCTTAAAGAAGGCTCTAACTACATGTTAGAGCACATAAACCCCAAAGCAATTTGCTTTTATTTTATCTCACCCTGACTAGAATGCAGATGTTTCCTTGAATAATAGTCTTATCCTTCAAGTTCTCCTTCAGCTGTGCCTTGGAAAAATATAATCTTGGCTTTGACATTGAAAATCTAGACACAGATTCAGCACTTTGAATTCACTGCAGGTTGAAGTAGATGAGAGGAAAGGAGTACCAGCCAGGGGACATTACTTGTTTAACCTTTAGTATATTTGTCACTTCCTTATTAAAAGCGTCCAGAAAAATTAGAGAAGCTGAAGACACACAAGGAAAGACAAGTAGGCCTGTTATATTTTTAAAAGGATGTCTCCTGGAGAAAAATCCCCTTTAAATAGGCAATAGACAGTGAAAACTACCGAGAGCTTGATGCGCTAGCTGAATATCTGTCCATCGCTAGTAAAATATAGGAAGCATAGGATATATACTCACAACAAGAAACAGATCCTCAGCAGCTTTTAAAAGCAGCTGGAACTGAAAGATAACTCAGAAATCATTATTTTTTTCCCCTGTCTCTGTCTCAAAAAAAAAAAAATCTTGTTCTGCCTCTTTGCTCGTTTCAGATGCATCTCCTGCCTTTTCATAGTTTTTTGCCATATGTAGCTTGAAATACAACATTTTGCTCTAAATAAAGGCTATACAACATGTAATCACTTCGGTGGTATTTTTAAAAACTTCAAAAGAGGAGGAACTGGTTTTCTCCTGGGAATAGAGCCTCTCATCTCTCTGTCAGGGTTTTGATACAGCTCCAGTTATTTCTCCCTCAAAGCTGTTGTTCTAATACCTGTCTCCATAGCAAGCAGCATGTTACAGAGCAGCAAGGCCCTGAGTAAACACAGTAATCCAGAACACTTACTGTCATTTTCATTATGAGGAATTATTTAGGGCTAAAGATCACTTCCTGGATTTGTTTGTGAATACTGAGTTGTGTTTTGAATATCATCATCTCCGATACTCTCGATCCCTTTATTACACTGCATCACATCAGATAGTTATTTGTAAAACAGAGTAAGAGAAATTAGGAGTATTTAAAGACGAATGAATATTTTTTTAAACAAAAAGAGGCAAGAAGAGAACTAACACTCAAAGCAGGTATCGGGCAGCAATCTCCTTTAAAGAAGTTAAACTCCTATGTAGATACCACTTTTCTAATGCAAACTTCCATCTAATATAAAAATAAAAATACAGCAAAATACACTAAATAGTATAACTGTGTATATCTTCTACTATTCCATCACCAGATACATGTTCTACTTATTTTTGCCCTTCACTTTCTATTTTCACCTTCAAAATTAGCTGACCATACATAATAAGACTTCTGTGGGCAGAAGAGAAATATTATTTGTGAGAAGATCCACATACCCGAGTCCTTGTCTGTGTGCTCTTTGTTACTGTAAAATAGGAACCAATCCTTTGTATTACTAGGGAATTAGTTAAAGAAAAACATCCTTATTCTCACAACTAAAACCTATTGCATTAAATCTACCCAGAGACTACCTTTCTGCTTCCTTTTGTGTGTTCAGACAAAGCTTTTTCAGAAAGGTATCAAAAAATAAGACCTTCTGCAGAAGAAAATTACAAATTGAGGCCCAGCTTTCATACAGGTTGAATTTTCAGAAATTGGGCACTTGCTTTTTGAGAGAAAAGTTTTTAAGGCCTAAATAGACCAAGACACTACTTCTGGCAAAGGTGGGAGACTTCTTAATCGAAAAGCTAAATGCTGTCACTTTTCGCAATATCATTGCCTCTTTTAAAGGCAAAGATATGTGGTATTAGGATTCTTTGGACTTATCATGGCTTTTTACTCTGTCGAGGTAATTTTTAAGCACTAAAAATGACCAAGGAAGATACATGTAACAGCATCTCTGAGGTGTGTGGATAAGCCTGTGATAGAGAGAGTACCATACTGACAGCAAAACTACAGAAGTTAAAACATCATATCCGCGTGTGTTCCTCTCTGAAAACCAGTTTGTGTTCATTTAATTTTATTAATTTATATTTTTTTCTCATCCTAAATGTGAAATTAAACATATATAAACATATATGTTATAGAAAAGAAAATCATATCTATAGTTTCATCTATTTTCAGGTCTTCCTCAAAAAGTTTGTGAATTATTTTTTGTAGCTCTAAATTATAACCAAACAAACAAACTGCCAGATCATTCATTTTCTTAATCTTGCTGCGTTTTTATTTTTCTCTTTCTCCTTTTCATCCCTCTTCAGGCATTGGAAAAATATTGCCGAGTAGATGGTGGCTATTCCGGCATCAGAGACGTTTACAGCAGTCGCCAAAGCCACGATGATGTGCAGCAAAGTTTCTTTCTTTCGGAGACACTCAAGTAAGTTAAGAAAGTTGACTTGCATTAATATAAAGTAATTTCTGCATATCATCTTTACAGGTTAGTGCATATCATTAGTATCCTTGACATTCAGGTAACAAAATCTGAAAAGCGGATTTGAATAGTAGAGGTCTTCTGCAGGGACAGGAAACCCAATTGCCTTTTTTTTTTTCTATATCAATAAACCAAATTCTGTGACTTCTGCAAATTATTCTTACTTCTGTTAAAGGTATTTGATAGTCTTTATAGAGAAATTACATATCCTAGCTTTGATAGGTCCAATTACATACACCAACACTGAGGAAACAAATTTAGTAGACCGAGGACTGTTATCAGGCCTGTAGTACATAATTTTTATTTTAAAACTAATAGGAAAAAAAGGATGGCAAGCTTGCATGGCAAGCTCACAGAGTCAAATAAGAGGAAGAAAAGAAAAGACTTCATTCTCCATTATTGTATCTTATTTTTAATGAAACAGAGGGCTTTGTCTCAATCTCTTCACTTTTTTTACTATGTAACAGCAATCTGGAAAGCACAGAAAGAAATAATTACGCCATTTCAATGGAAAGCATCTTACTAAAACAAAAGGGATAGAAGAAATAATACATACATCTACCGACGTGGCATTTTTTCAGAGAGTGTGTATGCAATAACGTGCTTCCAGTACATCTTTTACATTGCCATTTCAGAAATACACCAAGCAAAGCCCTCAGGGCTTTTGAGATTTTGCTTTTAAGTATCATGAAGATAGCAAGGTTTCTGGTTTGCAGCTGTACAGATTGAAGCCACTCTCTAAGGCTGCAGAAGGCTGGAGATTAAGAAAAAATACGCTTTAATTTGCTGACTGTCATTCCTCACCACACTTCTATATCAGCGCTGTAGTACCCACTACCTTTGTATTGTGAAATTAGGAAAATGTTGCCTTTCTGTTTTTAGTAAATAGACCCAATCCTCAGTAATGTTTTATCCTAGACTGGGCTAATACTAGTTTTATTCTTTAAATATCCTAAGCGAGATCTTGCTCATGGAAGCAAAACAGGATTTGACAATATTTTCACTCCTATGACTTGTTAGATGTGAACATGCAAGGGTAAAAATAAATAAATAAATAAATAAACAATAAATAAATAAAACTTGTAAATAAAACTTGTTACAGCTATATACTATCAAAACAACAGGTTAAAAGAATTACAAAGGATGACAAGAAAGTCAGATGACATTTAAATTTAAAAGCCTAAACTTTGCTTCTTTGTCCTCTCGGAGGCTAGAAGAGCTTTTCATAGTTCTCATACTTTTCATGCTCATTTTTCATTCTCATTTTTTCATACTCTTTCATTCTCGTACCCTTTTCATAGATCTCTACTGCTCTTGAGTCCAGTGTGAATTGCAGGCCCAGCGCTTTATGTTGACCCTTCTTATTCCACAACTACTAAAGTATCACGTTTGGTCCATAGAGGTGTGCTTCCACTGCTACATGTATCTACAGAAGTCAGTTGTCTATTTTTACCTGAAAACTATTTTGGTTTCATCTCCCTGATGCTACCTGCTTTTTCTTACCAGGTATCTTTATTTGCTGTTTTCTGAGGATGATCTTCTTCCATTTGAACACTGGGTCTTCAACACAGAGGCTCATCCCTTCCCTATTCTTGACAAAGATGATGGAAATAAAGAAGAAACCCAGAAATAGATTAAGTTATATTTCGTTGCATTCCTTATGTATCTTTCCAGGACTTGGGCACATGATTTGGTTTAAAATTCCTGAGTTAAGTTTTTAAATCAAGTGTTTTGCAGTCTGTTTTCTTTACCAGTAAATATTTATGAGTGGACCCAGACTCAACGATAAATCTCCATGTGTCTTATCCAGCTGAACCACTTCTTAGAAAAGAAATAGTACATCACATCTCTCCGGATTCTGTTAGGCTGCAGCAACATCTTGGCCAAAAAAGAACAGAAGGGTCTGCGTGCTACTTGTTTCCAGTTACGCTATTGATTTGACTGCAAAATTCTTCCCTCCTCTGTGAGGAGATGTCTGCTTTAAGCTGTAATATTTTTGCCATGTTGCAAAAAGCCATATTGAATTAAGTATAAAGAGCTTTGTTGGTTTTTGTTTTTCCTTTTTGTTTGTTTTATGTTAATTTGTTTTGTTTGTGTGTCATCCCAGACAAATATTGTGACTGTGACAGCCTCTTATGCGGGTCTTTCATTACTTGGTAAAGTATCTGATGCATTTCATGGTCAGTGAAGTCTACATAGGACTATTTTCATCTCATGCAGACACAACTCTGTTGTTAGAAATTGCAAGATACATTGAAGTTATTCTAGATCAGTTTTTATGAATTTAGCGCGTTCACTAGCAGACCTTAGTTTTCAGGGGTTGAGTAGAATATCATTATGGACTGAATTGTTTCTTCCCTTTTTTAAGTGGAGTTATTCCCATCTGTTTAGTCAGGCTGGCATTGAGTAAAATAAGACAGTCATTTCTCAGTAAGCAAGGGAGTCTTTTCTTCTTTATGAATTTAGTCCAGTAACATTCATAAGGTTGGAGAGTAAAAAAAATACCTAATGACATTATTGTCAAAACTGAGCTGAGAATTATTCCAGAGACAATTTTGTTTGGATTTTGGTGACTTTCTCAGTCAGATGAGTTGAGGCTGATGTGAGCCCTCTTTGTTTATTTTCACAAACCAATTTAATATATTTACATGAAAAAAAAATATATGCCTTGAAGAGAACTCACCTCCTTAAAAAAGAAGTAATCATTCATTGCAGAGGGTCTCCTTCCAGCACAGAATTAAAATTCTTTGACAGCACTAACTGTGCCTTCTCTAAGTGACAGGAACACAGTGTGTTAAACAGTATTCCTTAGATTAGAGGCCCAGTTTACTAAGAAAGGTAACAGCTTTGCTGAAAAATGTTCCATTTAACAGCATCACCAAAGGGTAAGAATCAGGCACAATGAACTTCTTTCTCTATTTAAGAGCAGTTTGGAGTGTTTTACATGATATTTACATCCACAGAGATTTCCTTTTAGTGACATGATGACTTTGGTACATTGAGTAGGAGGATATATTATATACTGGACTTCCCATCCTGAGACCGCGCCATAGGAGCTGCAGCAAAACAAGTGTGGTTCTGAACAGTAATCTTCTTTAAAGTGATGTAAAACTCTTCTTTAAAGTTCTTTAAGGTAACGAGATCTCACCTGTGCAGTGTAGCTAGTCACAGCTGCGGGAGCAGGTTGGTTTAGTCGTTACAGAATGCATTTTACAGAGCTAAGACAAGGTTTTTCCACAGCAATACAGGTCTGCGGCATTGGCGTTCCATAGGTAGAAGCTAAGGGCAGAGATGCCCAACTGCATTTTTACACAGTGTCCTGGAGTGGGCAGAGACAAGTGAGGATGAAGCTTGGGCTCTCCTCTCCTGAGAAGCAGAACTCTTGTTTGTTTAAATATTCCAGAAGCTGCATAGTTGGAGAACTATCATAGCTCTTGGCGTTTCTTCAGAAATTGTTTATAAGAGAGCATTTTTTCCCAGGTACTACAGATAAATTATCACTGTGGAATAAAACTAAATTCTCTTCCCTCTTTAACAAAATGAATTGTATCTTATTATACTTTAATCTTATTTTGTCTTGAGGGTCATTTACTGCTGCCTACCACGATTGTGCACATGCTGCTATAAACCTCATACCAGTTAAGTAACTGCAGCAGCTCAGAAAAGAAATAGTCTGAGAAAGGTGTTTTGCAAGCCAGTTTTCATATGGTTTTCTTGACCACAGTCTGCTTCCCTGAGAGGTGTCTAGTGATCTTGTGCTCACTTAGTAAGTTGAAGAGGAGCAACACAAATCGGATACCTATTTTCCCTGTTCCGAAAAGCCGGCAAACACAAAACTCCTATAGGCATTAGGTCTGTGTACTTAGCTATCTAAGTGTCATGCCTCTTTCCTCATAATACAGACATTCAGTATGTACTTTATTTTTAGTTTGGGAGTTATGATTTCCAAGAGCACAAATTTGATGTGACTGGTATTGGTATTCAGGTTGTATGTACAAACTGCACTATACTGTACTTTTTGTAAACTAATGTAAGTAGACAAGAAGATTGTACAGCGTGTAGATCTGCCGACTGTAAGAAAACAAATCTTTTCATAAACAGAGAATATATTGATTTTATTTCCTTTTTTTTTTCCTTTTTTTAAAAAACCCTGAAACACCAAAGTTAGAACAGTGCTTTGGAAACGGTCAGTGCTTAGCAGTCGTTGTGCTAAGGAAACCCTGTCTTGCCCCTTCACCAGCTGGGTGGAGGTGGCTCGTGATGGCCACTCTCTGCATCCGCTCATTCAGCAAAGCAAGAGAAATTGCTTTGCTGATGGGGAAGGAGGAAACCCTGCAGAAACACACTGCCCATTCTTCTGCCATGGCCTTGCAGCAGAATAATGCCGTTAAATCTACATACATTAGCTGCTAAGAGGTGAATAATTTTAAATGCCACCCATGTTATTTCATGAAAACACCACCACTGGTTTAATAGTTTGTGAAATAAGTATTACATGTGTTGATTGTACACAGATTTTTGCAATGCCCAATAGTTCACTGTTTCTATGGTGACTTCATCATATACACTATCCATTTCTATGATACATTTAAATTGTTTTTGATTTGTACATAGTCCATTTAGTCTTTTCACCTTTATATAAACTATGAAATTATGGAATACATAATAGATCAAGATTAATTTTTAAGAACTTATATTTGTAAAAATTTCTCTATTGTGAATAAAGTCTTTTAATATATCTCTTCAATTTGTTGGGTTTTTTTTTTCTTCCTATGTATACTGCAGAATTAACTGCAATAATCTGCTACATCATCCCATTTGCTTGGTCACTGTTCTCACCAATTTGGGTGAGCAGACTGGTTAAGTACAGATTAGTACTCTCTTTACTTGTTAAGATACTCTTTCTACTAGTCAGTTCATGTTTATCACAGTGTATAGAATTACTATCACAGGGATCAATTTCTGGAATTTTTTATTAATAGAGTCAGCCCTAACCGAGCATATTTTAGTAAGAAGTAAGCTTACTATTAAAGAGCAGGAAAAGGGGAAGGAAGAGGTTTTAAGCTGTAAGCAAAACAGAGGTCAGTCACTCAAATCCCTGTTCCTCAAAAGACACGTGGGCTTCAGCTAAATGCCACTTAGGAGCTGGGGCCGACACGACAAGGCTGTCACAGAGCCCGCATCACCAAGCACTGCCATTAGTCCAGGCTCCGGAGGAGACAGGGACAGTTGTCATAGGAACCGTGACTGCATTTTGTGACACAAGGATATGTCATTAAAATCTCTGCTCTAGACGGTAACTTAGCGGACACCTCTCATGGATGAGCTTGTTTGGTTTATGTTTAGTGGAAAGCATCACCAAGATCCAGAGATAAAAGCAAAGCGAGCTGCTGTGATTTTACAGGATAGGTTCAGAAGCCCTAATTCCTGTCAAAGGATTTGCTCATTAAACCTGCTCAGAACATTTGACAGCAGTGATCAGCCATATGTGGCATCTAGTTTTAGAGCATTTGTGCCAGTGTGCAGCTCTGCACTGCAGGCCCTTCCCAATATCCGTTTGTCAGGACTGCACCAAGTGCTACAAAACAAACTAAACATGACCTAACGCAAACACTAGTGAGACGGGTTATTCACAGGAGTTGCAGCTATGAGTCTGGATCAGAAATCAGACCGTGATATGCACATGTGGTCTCTTGCTTGAGCAGTAATTGGATGTTTGGTTTGGGTTGCTGCAGGGCGGGAAGGAACCAGCAGTGACTTGGGAATGACGAGGTGGAGAAAAGCCAAGCACCTGCCCCGCTGTCTGTACTGCTCTATGGCCTTGCTCTGCTACAGGAGTAACTCAGCAGTCATGTGGCACCATCTGCTACGGGAACAGGCCTGCAGATCCTAAGTCTTAAGCCCTTCAGCCTTAATCTAATTTTGGGACTAGGCCATTGATCTCAAATACTACAGTATGGAGCAAAAAAAGCAGTCTGCCAAACTTAGAATGCTTATCTGAAGACTGGAGAAAAGAAAAAAATCACACCACATCAAATGCAGACATTTGCTGCCTTCTGGTTTTGTTTTTAGTTCCATAATTTGTGGATTGCAAAAGCCCCACAGCTTTCTAACATAAGAGGGTATTAATATGGTCCAATTGTCCTTCAAAAGCTGTGGGTTGGTCCCTCATTTCTCAAGTAACAGCTTGGCTATCTGCACCAGCTCGCATCCTGTGACTGAAGCCACTCTCACCAGCTTTCCTTTTGGAAGTTCTTCTGTGAAAGTTTCATTTGCTTTTCAAACGCTCTGCACCCACTTGGTGGCCGATTTGCAGCTGCCTATTTGCCTTCCACAGTTCAGAGAGTGCAGATGAAGACCTCCCTTAACCCTGATTGCTGCCCCCCCACACACACAAACATTGTGCGTTGCTTCCACACCATCCATCAGAGCAGCCCCAAAGAAGACTTACCATAGGTTATCATAGGAAATGCACGACAGAGGAGCCCGGAGTTATTTCGTAATTATGGATAGTTAGAGGATTCTGACGCTGCAATACTGATCCTACAGTGCAGCCTCCCAGCCTGGAAAAGGCCAGGCTTGAGGTGCCGTGGGCAGCTGGGCCCTGGCTTAGCCACCCAGCACTGACCTTCAAGCAAGGGCATAAACTACATGGTTGGTTAAAGCTTTTCAACTTCTTCTGTTGCTCTGAACCTCCCTCTTGGACATCATTTCCGGTGCTATAAC